ATGCTGCTAGTGAGAGAACCTGTTGTTAAAATATTTGAATCCCACCACTGCATGCGCTACATATTAAGCCACCACTAAGACTACTTTGTACTCTTTTTTCTTATGACAAATCTTAACAAGCTAAACACAAGTTGAGAAACATGTCAATAAGTTTGTATTGGCAATATTTTACATCAAACATAGTTAGTTGTCTCTAATCAAGGTTCACACATTGATATGTTAAGGATGGACCTGGTGTAGAAGTTATTAGCCGATCAGACTGTTCCCAAGAACAGTGTAATATGCACATGCTTAATGAAAATGATGGGATAATCCCCCTATTGTGCAAGAGGTATTCCATGATGTACTACATATGCACCTAGTGTATTATCACTACCTGCAGTGTTAAAAAATATAATAAACCTAACATAATTTATTATGATAAGCATAACTGATTAAAGAACAATACACGTTATAACTAAAATTACACAGAAATATATGATGTCATAAAGAGATACAACCTGATTGCATTTTATAGTTGGTATTCACTAATGTCATATTTTTAAGTTCACGAGTCTAGTCTTAAAATCTGCCATAAACAGCAACTTTGTACAAAATATAAATTGGCTCTGTAATAATAATTTAGATGTTCAGCTGTAGGGGTGGTATAAAATAATGGTAAATTCTGCTATTCATTTGTAAAAGTTGGTGTCGACCAGCCAAGCTGGATTCCCTTTAGTCTTAAAAATTAGGGAAAGCAAGCACAGATAGCCCTCAAATAGCTTTGTGCAAAATTAGCAAATAAACAATCAGAAGTAAGCTTAGGTTCTGTAAGTGCTTTTATTTGTGTTATGTGAAGCAACTCGAGGGCTAGTTGCACGAGCTATTCCTAATTTTGAAGTGAAAGACCAGAGAGAGAAGGCAGCTAGTTTCTGAAAGAGAAATTGTATTAGAGTCTAAATCATCAGATATATATATATATATTATTTCAAAAATCGCTGAATATAACTCGCTTCCTTAATATCAATACATATATTCAATGTAAAATTATCTACAAAACTTAATGTAATATTTGAGACGAGTAATAGAAGTTTTACTAACTACCTTTTAAATATACAGCCTGTTTTGGCAATAAGTTGAAATAAAAGAAATGTATAATAGCTTTCGAGATTATTTGAAAAAAAAAAATTTTTATACGTTAATGCTGCAAAATATCACTTTAACAATCTTAATTTAACCAATACATTTGATGGGAAAATATTGAAATTTTGTAAAAGCTTATTTCAAAACTCTGACAACTTCTAATTTATTTTTTACAAATGATTCGGAAGCTTTTAGCTTAACCACACCTTCTGTACTTATATTTTTGTTGTGAAATTTGAAGAGTTAGAAATAAGTTCTTTGAAGTTAGTTAACAAAGCATATGTAGTTACATATCTTAAGTTGCAGTTTATACATTTATGGATTTGACAGTTAGTTAGCCTTTGACTAATACCTCACATAACACGTCTAGTGAGATACATTAGTACAACAACTTGTGATATGACCAAAATTTTGGCACATATTGGTAGCATTGTAACACCATATATCAAAATTCCTCAATTCAAAAATACATGAATTAAATGGATAAACCATCTCGATTTCTTTGTAAACTGAAAATGTAGGTTAATCAGCTGGTATACCATTTAGATTTTTACCATTAAACTCAATTTGGTTTCTTATATTTTACATCTTAAGTTACTATTACTACATGAAATTTGATTTTTCTCTTTATCTTGTTGTTTTTAACCCCTTGCCATTCATTTGTATTTTTGTTCCAATGACATGTCTCCTATTGGCACAGTGGTATGTCTGCGGACTTATAAAGCTAGAAACCGGTTTTCGATACCCGTGGTGGACAGAGCACAGATAGCCCTTTGTGTAGCTTTGTGTTTAACTACCAACAAACCCACTGACGTATTTAGAATTCTCAATCATCAGTTTTAATTTTAAATATACAGACAGTTCCCTCAAGTTTACTAGAAGTTTCAGGAGATATCCAGGGTACGTCAGAATCTTTTTTTTTCTTTAACCCTCTCGCGAAAAATGTTAAGCTATACAAGGAAAGTTGAGAGTTTTGGGCTAGAGGCCGAAGTTTGCATCTCGGGATTTTTAGAGCTAACTTTGGTATGGGTGTGGTGAAGTATTAAAGTGGCATATTAGTATGGGCTTTAACATGAGTTAAGCCCACTATTGTGTGTGTGGGGGGGGGGGATGAGTAGTCCGAGAAAACCCACTTTCACTGATCAGGCAAGGAGTAGTCTACGTGATCAGAGGCTGAGCTATGCTGCTGTAAAGGAAAAAAAATATTTGGATTAGTCAACGTGATAAATGAATACGTGTGTATGTTTTCTGAGAGTAAATGTTTTAACTTCTTAGGGAGTTGAGCATGTTTATTGGTGATATTCACGGGTTTGGTGATTTTGTTTTGTTGTGGGTATGTAATAGCACGAGGCTAGTTTTAAACATGTCTTGAAATTTGTTAACGTATTCTAGTGGAGTTGGGAAGTCTGTAGGTATTTTCACTGCTCGTTTTGTTGTTGTTGGATTTTTTTAATTTGATATTCTGACATGTTACAAGTTACAGCGCTACAATACTGGTCTGATATATACTTTATAAATGGTAATGATAGTTTTGCTACCTCAGCCTTTATTAATGCCCTGTTACGTCTCCGTTCGTTAATTAATTTTCCATAAATTCGTTCCGACGAAACTTTAGCGACACAAGTTCTTTCTTAAATAAAACTGGTTTATTATTTCCGAATACAATTTTACGATACACTTAATTTCAAGAGTCGCTCTATAACAAACACTAATTCACGTCTCACGTGGCCAACAATATTTTGTCCGCATACATTCAGTTACTCATTACACTGATGTCCCGTCACGTTGTGAACGTCTTATATATATATATACAAGACTAACACATATCTAGGAAATGCTAGGGCATTCTTGAAGGAACAGGATATTTCTAGAAAACAAGTGGCGTGATACTAGTC